ATATATAGACACAAAACAATATGGATAAAAACAAAGGGCAGTTACAACACCAAAACAGCTGTCTTTGCAATCTTTCCTCCGCCAACCACATCCTTATTTTCCTCTCAATCCTTCACCACCCAGCGCCCCTCTCCATTCTCAGGAAAAAAATGGCGGCATGGGGAAACCTGAAGAACATCTTCGAGAAACCAGCAACAGACTCCCATTCTCCATGTGCACAAAACCTTCCTTCAACATCCTCTAACTCCTCCTACGATATCTTCCGCGAACTCTGCCATTCTTCCTCCTCCTCCTCTCCTCCCATTCTCCAATCCATCACCACATCGCCGGAACCCCATAGCGGAGCCGCCGTCGAGATATTCGGCGAGCTCTGCTACGCCGAAAAATCCGATTTTTATCCCTGCAGCGATGCGGAGACAGAGAAAAGAAGCAGTTGTGAGAAGGTGGGAGAGTGCGTGAGAAGCTATTCCGATGTCAGGCCGAGAATAGCTGGATTTCCGCCGCCGATATCGACCATAGGGAGCGGGGGGAAGCCGAGAGTGTATTTCAAATCGATTAGAAAAGATGGGAGATTTGTTTTGAGGGAAATAAGGATTCCGAAGCAGAGATTGTTGCAGACGAGGAGGGAAGATGGGAGGTTGAAGATGAGAGTTTTGCGGCCGAGAGAGGAGGAGGAGGAGGAGGAGATGAGGGGTGGAGGAGAAGAAGGATGAGTTGTTGGTTGTTAGAATTTTGATCTTTTTAATCAATCTAGTTTGGGTTTTTTTTTGTGATAAAAATGTGAACTTTATTCAGTTTATGTTGCATAGATCTTGTAAGGAAATGAATTTGCTATCTTCTCTTTGTTTTTATTCTTATTGATTTTTTTTTATTTTTGGTTTACTGTTTTGGGCTTCATGATCAGGGGTGGAAATGATCAAATTATCATCTCATATAAGTAAAAATTCGAATTTTGAGTGGGGCAATAGCCTCCCTTCGACCCTATCTGGGTCTGCTCCTATTCATGGTTGCTGGAGTTTTTTACTTTTATGACTCTGATAATAGAAAATTATTACATCTGATAAAGCACACTTTTAGATAACGAAAATAATCTGACCACATTATCGTGTATTTCGGGTGGCCAGATCCCTGACTATGTTCGAACGTGCAAACACGGGCGAGACGTAATAATTTCTCCTAATTTTGTGACTTTACACACATGTATCATGATCATAAATATGGTTTTACAAATTGGATTGAACTCATTTGTCGGAGTAGATTTAATTTAATTGTGAATCAGTCTTTTGCATGTAGTGAATCATAATCAATAATTGATTTTTTATTGCACTATTTTCTATGAACTCTCTAGTTTAATATTGATTAATTTTTTAACCTCTTATTTTGATGGGATGGGTAGAAATAAAAAAAAGAAGATAAAAGTTAAAAAGAATTAAGTTATTGTATCTCAAAATCTTGATTCATAATCATATCTAAATTATTCAATAAGTAAAAATATCATGATTGCAGTATTATTATATCATTTAAATAATATGAAAATAGTTTTAATATTTATTAGGTCATATCCTCCCTTTAGCTTGAATCAAACTATTGAAATTTGAATTTTTTTTTCTTTTGGTTTAATATCTCATCTTTTTTTCTTCTAATTGGTTAAGTTTGTGCAACTCTTAACTTCAACTTGAATGATTAATTAAGCATGACTTTGAGTTTAATTCTACGAGTTAGAGTTGGCAGATAAGCAATCTCTTTTATTGTAATAGAAGATTGTATTTAAGAAACACTTGCAATCAAATGTTAAAATTTATGTGAAGCTAGAAGATAACAAATAAGAAATCAATTAGGATAAGCAAGTAATATAGATTTTAAAATTTTCTATATTTATATACTTAATGTTTAGCTTCAAACTTCTTTTATTTGAAATTTATAAAAAAACATTTTTTTTAATTTATTAGTTTAACAACTAACAAGTCAAGCAGCTGAGTTGGGGCTAACCTAGGCTTAGCCTTTAGGTTCATCAATCTCAGCTCATAAGCCATTTTTGAGCTGAGTTTTGCTAGTTCATAAGTCAGCTTTACTTGGGGTCAGATTGAGACAGTTGCAGTTGTTTGAAGAAAATACTGTTATTGCTATAATAATTTTTTTTTCTTTTTTTTGAAAAAGTCAGGTCTGTTGGGAAAATACAGCTTTCAACTAAAGTTTTATAAAAACACAGACAAAATACAGTTTTGCCAAACAAAAAAACTAAGGTGTGACGCCACACTGCCCCCCAAATGCACCATTGGTTACACTTTCTTATGAAACAAAATCCGTTATTTTAGTTACCTATAATTAGTACAGTAAATGAGTTGGACTCAAACAAGCTCAATTATTGCTTTGTTTCACTAATTAAATAGATAAGCATAAAATATTTTATTTGTGTTTGTTAGATATATTTCTCAATTGTGATAAGATTTTATAATATATTCCTTTTGTTTAAGGTAAATTTCATCTTTGAATCCTTAAGAACGATTTCTTCCTTCAACAATTAATTGACTAAGACATCATTTCATCTATTTAATAACCTTTGAACCCTTCTAATAGAAGACATGCATAAACAAGGTGTCATCTTATCATAAATATTTTCAATCAATAATTGATCCAACACAAGCACTTTGTAGATATGACATTTTGAAAAGTCTTATAAGTTATGAAGTATATACATTGTCTCACATATATATTTATACATGCAAATTTACATATAACTAATGGTCTGTTTGGAACAGCTGTAGCTTATTAAAAGTAATTGTGAAGCTGCTGAAAAATAATATAATGTTAAAAAAAACTGCACTGGCTATTACAATTTTTGTTACTTTGAAAAATTAAGAAGCTGCTACCGCATCTAGTCAGGACCGGTTTAAAAATGCAGATTTCAGCGACAGTTTTTTGAAAAGATGCCAAAATTCAGTTTACCATTGTCTCACATATATATTTATACATGCAAATTTACAATATAATTAATGGTATGTTTGGAACAGCTTTAGCTTATTAAAAGTAATTGTGAAACTGCTGAAAAATAATATAATGTTAAAAAAAAAACTAAAGTGACTATTACAATTTTTGTTTCTTTAAAAAATTAAACTCACAGCTAGAAAGTTGTCACCGCACCTAGTCAAGACCGGTGAAAAAATGCAGATTTCAACGGCAACTTTTTGAAAAGATGCCAAAATTCAGTTTACCGCCTCCACCGCACCACCGCCCCAAACGGACCATGAATCGAATACGAACGAACAAGAATAAAATTTTTAATTTTTTATTTCAATAACCCCAACTCCAATCAAAATTCTCCACAGCTATGAGTTAGAGAAACATGAATAGATGTTTAGTTAAATTATATAATGGCTTTCACATGAATCTTATTTAGTTAGCTCCTAAAGGGAAGAAAAAACAGTGAAGCCAATGTATTAATTCAGCTCACAGGTGAGGATCAGTTACTTAACAACTGCTAGCTTCTCTCTAACAGGCTGCTTAGTGCATTGTACAGCTAAAATTATAATATTTATTTTTAGTAGCATTAAATTTGGAATATTTACATGCATACCCATCAATTCTTATGAATTTAAATCTCCTATGTTATATATATATATATATATAATAGGACATGTAACATATCAAATTATATCAAATGAAATCAATAAATGCAACTAAGTAAATAAAATTTGTAATGGTAACAAGATGTTGGCAAAAAAATAAAGTCTATTATTTGCATGACAATTCTTAAATATATTAATTAATATTCAAGTATTATTAAATTATTTATTTAAATACTCATACAAATTTCAAAAATAGTAAAATAAAATAAATATTTTTTTACTTTTAATTATGTTAGTTTCATGAATTAAATATTATGTATAATGCATTGAAGAAAATATTCAAATTATGAAAATTATAAATAAATATTTAATTGCATTAATATCTATTTTAATTTTTTTTCTTAATTAATAATTAAATAAGTAAATATATCCAATTGTCAGTAAGAAAAAAAAAACCATTTAAGAAAATTCCAATTATTTTCTATCTTGAGCTCAAAGCTATCTATCTTGATCCATACATCTTGTTTTTTTATTGGATGGTTGTGTTGAGAATTTTAGGGCAAAGATGTCAACGTCCTCGTGAACAGAGCGACGACTTTTCCTTCAATTCAGAAAAGGAGAGTACAAGACCACATTAGGGTTACAATACGTATATATATAACCCTAGAGTACAATATGTAATTACAAAATTATCTCTGTACAGTACAGCGATGGCATTTCCTCCACACCCCCAACCCACATAATAAAACTCTCCCGATTGGACAAATGCTTCCGCTCCACTCCGCTCGCGAGCTCTATTCCGCTCCAGCATCTGTCCCTTATTTGATATGTGAGTCATACCTAACAAGTTGCCTTTTCACTTACTCTGATAGTTTTTTTTTTTGTTTTAGGTTTCACGATTCGACCGAACATCTCCTCTATCCTAAATGAAATCATCTGATCCCACTCCTTGTTTTGAAATTTTGGAGGGCTATGATGACAAGTACAACACTCACTATAGGCTCAATCGTCTTCCACTTCATGTGATTTTCCTGGTTCCTTTGCTTTGGCAGATTTAGCTCATGGTTGCTCACTGGCATCAACAAAAACTCCTTGCTCTTACGCCTAATACAAAGATACAAGTCATTCCTTGCCTACTTAAGGTCAAGTAGGATCTACTTTCTGCATCCTTGGTAAGCCTGAATAGAGCCTCACCATAAGCAACACTGTATTAACTTAGCTCAATCCGCCCACTTGATGCCTATATATATATATAT